ACCTTCACATTAAAGGTCTGATGCTCATGAGCCAGTGTGTTATGAATGTAATTTTGGATTTTGAGAAGGAATATGTGGCTTTCTAGAGCCTGGATAGCTCAGTTGGTAGAGCATCAGACTTTTAATCTGAGGGTCCAGGGTTCAAGTCCCTGTTCAGGCGAGACTAGTTTTAAGATGCCTGAAACACAGATTGAAGACAAGAAAAACATTTGAGGAGGCTGAAGTTTGTCACCACAGAAAACTGAGCTCCACAGATTGGACTGTCACGTGTTTAAAGTGATGCCAGTTAGATCTGAAGTGTCTCCGTCATCTCGTTTAGCTGCACTTCATGATCTCAGTCAGATGAGCAGCGTTCATGATAACTTTCAGTAAATATTGACTTCTTAAAGCTTCATGTTGTGTCTCTTTCACACGTCGTGGCTGCTGGAACGTGTTCAGTAAAGGATCCACCTGTTCCTCCTCACTCATCGCTCCTCCAGATGTTTTCAAGGAGCTGAAGTGGTTTGAAACAGAGAAGAGCCTTCTGTCCTCATCATCCTTCATCTCTTCCCACTCTTGGTGTCTTTTCTTTCCAGATCGACCTCCTTCCTTCCCTCCTCTCTTCCTTCTCTGCGTCCTCACACCAACAGTGCATTAATGCATCTTTAAACACATTTGGACCATATTTGCTTTGTCATTTGTTTCATATGTTGTATTTTTAAGACACTACATCATTCTACAGAACTTCCTAAGGCACTAGATTATCTGCTAATCTGTTGTTACTTTAATCTCCTCTTGATGTTTGTAAATGTGATTTAAATAAAAAAGATGCTGACTTTCTCTTTTCACTAATCTCAGCAGTGATGTTATGTGATGTTTGTGTCTGTTGTCGTCGGTGGATGGAGTCGCCTCGGGGTCCCACCGGAAGGCCACTGATCGCCACAGCAACGGCTGCCATAACTGTGGCCTCACAGTAAACAAATAAACAGATAAACAGGAGACAACAGAGGAGCAGCAGATCTCATAACAGCCAAGTAAACCTGATTTCCATTGTGAGCAGCAGCATGTTGCACTACGCTGCATCTGAGCCGCAGAAAACGGCCGCAGACGTCCTCCAGCGGCTACATGAGCCGGACGTCAGCAGAACCTCACAGAACCGAGAATGTTCCTGCGAATGCAGAGGGAACGGGCCCACGTTAGGAAAGAACAGAGAGACCGTGGCCTTCAGCAATTCAACGAAAAGATCTAAAAAACATAGCAAACAGAGAGGAAATCATTATCCCATGTGTTGCTGGAAAATCTGAAAAACTCAGAAGGGTTTTCTCCAAACACAACATCTTGGTGCACTTCAGACCCACAAACACACAAAACTGGTTCATCCTGAGGACAAAACACTAAAACACAAGCTGAACAACGTTGTGTATGAAGTCCAGAGCAGCAGGAGAGCACAGACCTGAACATAGAGGAGAATAAACAAGAGCTAAAGATGATCAGGACAAGACTCAGCATCCATCTGAAGGACGAAACTCTCCTCTGAGGACAACAGCGTTCAGCCATTCAAGCTGTTAATGTTAAACTGGAACATCCATCTCTGAGCACAGCGCAGGTCTGTGACACCTCTTATCCATCACCTACAACAGAGATGCAGTCTCTCCCCTGACACTTCCACCGTCGTTAACATCTGGAGTCACTCCTGATGGGTGGCAGATTGATTTCCTTTGTTGTGTAAACTGGCAGCTCTACAGCCGTTACAGCTGTTGGACCGCCTGGTTTCACAACATTCACACCTCGAGAGAGGTGAGTCCTCGTTGTTCATGAACCTTTAGTCCGGAGAGATGGAGGACTGTAAACACCTGAGACTCTCCATCAATCAGGTAGAACTGAAGGAGCCTCTTGGATGAAGGTGAAACGTGAAGGTGAACCTACAAAAGAAGTCCAGCTGCTTTCTACTGAAGCTCTGAGGACTTGTTCATTTGCTCCACTTTACCCTCACAGGCAGTAACTCAAACCCTTGTTCTTATTCCTCACTTTGTACACCCTCAGTTCCTCTCCTCACCTCCTTTCCTCACCTCTTCCTCTCCTCACATCTCCGTTCCTCCCATCTGAGATATGAGGGACGAGGAGGAAAGATGAGCAGAGAGGAGTCGAGCCACTGACAGAAATCAGACGTCCTCGCCTCAAAGTCATGATTTTACAGAAGTGTCAGCTGAATATGGCCCCTCATTGGTTCATTGTTTCGGTTCTAGCCTGCTGCTGCTGCTGCGTTTTATGATCTCTGTCCCTGTGGAGAAATTTGAGATGAGCTGAATTCTTCATTTTGAGAGATAACATATAGCTTCTCAGAGCCTGGATAGCTCAGTCGGTAGAGCATCAGACTTTTAATCTGAGGGTCCAGGGTTCAAGTCCCTGTTCAGGTGATGAAATGTTTAATGTGAGTGAAAGACAAGAGAGGCTGTGCCTTGTGTGCAGCATCCATGTTATACTACACTGTACCTGAGCCGCAAATGTGGTGAATATCAGCTGCATGATTCAACATTTACTTGATGATTATATTCCGTCACTGATGCCAGAAAGACTTCACAAAAGATTCACCTGTTCATCTTCACTCAGAGCTCCTCCAGCTGCACTTTAGGAACTGAGATGTTCTTCAAGGTGACGTGTTGGGATCGATTTCTGGGTCAAAGGCAGTAGGACGGAGGAGACCAGGAGGCTGAAAGTAGAGAAATGACATGAGAGTAGAGCTGATTGAAGTCACTCTGATCAGCTGAACCTTCAGATTAAAGGTCTGATGCTCAGAGGTCAGAGTGTTTCTGCTGCACTATAGTCAAACCACAAATGTAAGAATGTAATTTTGGATTTTGAGAAGGACTTTTCAGATTTCCAGAGCCTGGACAGCTCTGTCGGTAGAGCGTCAGACTTTTAATCTGAGGGTCCAGGGTTCAAGTCCCTGTTCAGGTGAAGTGATCTTTAAGGTGAGTGAAAGACAAGAGAAACTGTGTCAACTTTCTACACAGAAAACTGATGTAGGCAGTGTGTAATGTTATACTACACTGTACCTGAGCCACTAAGTGACTACAAATGTGGTGAATATCAGAGCTGCATGATTCAATCTTCAACTTTTATTTGACGATTATAACACAAGTCACAGCTAAAACAAGGAGGCAATATGACCTTCAGGATGATTGAATCACAGAGACAAGGAGGCTGAAAACAGAGAAATGAGATGAGAGTTGATTGAAAACACT